ACAAATTACTGCAGACATTAAATGCAACAAATTATTGCAGACATTAAATGCAAAATGAGCGGGAAAACAACTCTTATACCAGCTGCTCCACTTTTATATATATATAGATATATTAGTACGCGACCCGCGCGTTGCGCGAACTGACATTAAAAATAATTTGGGTGAATTATAATTTAATATACACAAACATGTATAGAGTTAATAAAAAATAGGATAAAGTAATATATTTAATATATTCTCCTTAATATAATCTTAGTAATCGATGAACGTATTTATTACCATTGTCAAAAATAATAATCATCAACAAACTGAAATCGGTGACTTTAGAAACAACATATAACTGAGTGCTATTCAACGAAAAATATTTTTCACATTAATGACATTCCTTGAAACTTCATCTTCCTGAATAATAAAGACGTTATTACTATTATATAGGTAAATTGATATAAAATAATGGAAAGAAACATGTAGAAGTATGATCCAGTTAATATTGAAAAATATAAATTGAATACTTAAAATAAGAAAACAAAAATGACTCAATTTTGAACTGCATGCATTCAGTTTCAAATTAGGTCAACGTACTTTCTCTTTTTTTTTTAGTTATCTAAATAAATTTTAGTTAAATAAGTTTGATGGTGATCAAAGTGACATGCAAGATGGATCACCTTTTATAAACTTACAAATAGGTACAATAATTGTTAATATTCATGTCAATAACAAATTTATTTATTTTTTTGTGTGCAATTCATGTGAAATAAAATTTAATATAATTTCTGGAAGTGAACCTTGATAGAAATTTCATAAAATAATAAAAGAATATATTATTTTGATAAAACTAACATTTATGATATATGATAAGAAAAAGTAGTTGATGCATCATAGTAAACCTTATTGAACTTTATTGCAACAACTTAGTAGCGATATTATACTCACATCACGCTCTTAACGAAACATGGGTTATAATAACAAAAAATTAACAATAATTAATATATTATGCTATTTTCATTCATAAAAAAATATAGTTGCATAATTGTGAATAAAAATAAATTAAAATAAGGGCAATCAGTATAGTCACCACCATTTAAACGACCTCAGATGCAGTTCTCAATAAATAAATGATATCGACTAAACATAAATAAATTGAAAAAGCTATTTATTTTGGCTCAAACGATTCAATTAAATATTAGAACCAAAATCAATATAAAAGGTCGTGTATATAACAAAAGATCAACTAAATAATTGGATAATATATATATATATATATTGTCGTATTCATTCTTCCGAGTCAAAAACTATATCGTCACTATTTCTCTCTCATCCTTTATGGTTGCGACTTGGGACTGTATCACTTTTTCTATTATCATTTTCTTTTTTTTTTTTGTTCTTTTACAATATAACTCCACAGTATTAGTCTATTTTTTACCCATAAATGAAGCTAAATTCCTGTGTCATGTTCAAAAACTAAATCGTATAATTTTTATTTTGTATACAAATTGTGTCAATATATGTCCATCCAAAAGTTGAAAATTAAAAGTACAAATGTCTATATGTATCAAATTATTATTTTTATTATAAAATTTCATGATGATTTTTTACTATAAATAATAGTAATACAAATTTTTAGTTACTATTTCAATTAATTAAATACAAACCTTGTTATATATATAAATATAACTTGTTAAATACACATCCAAGTATATATATATATATATATATAAAGATTGTAACTTAGAGAGTTTTATACTAATGTATTGGAACTTGTAGAAATTGTGATAATCAATAGTTTTTTCTAATAAAAAAGTATTTTATCATATTTTTCTGGAAAGAATTAATAAATTTGATGAGTTAAATTACATGTTTATGAAGGTCGGTCAGACAATTTAACGATTACTTATCATTAATCAATATTTTTTGAAGATACAAATAATGTAAATGCTAGAGTAATTACTTTGAATGATTTATTCTTACTTCAACAGAAGCATTAACAATTTTTAGGAATGAAAAAATTCATAAATATACTACTTGCTTTCATATATATCGCAGTAAAATTTTAATTGTTATTTCTTTCTCCAAATATAACATCCCATTAAACCCTCAAATTAAATAAATTGTAAAAATTTTGAAAATCAAATTCAATATTTCCAATAATATTGAATGTTATTATGAAGAAATGTGAATCACGACCATGATTTCTTATAAAGATAAATGTAAAGTTCAATTATTGTAAAATAATTTGGTTATTATAGTGACACTAATAAATAACTAATGAGTTATAAAATATGTATACATAATATTGTTCAATTTACTCATTATCTTCATGGTCTATATTAATTTTTATAAATTATTTTTCCAACTAATAATTTTCTATATATTTATATTGGTTCGAGTTCAAATAAAACTGAAAGGTCAAAAAAATAAATATGGTCATTTGAATCTATAAATATATAATTTGGCAGAACAACATTTAATTTTATTCTAATGCATTTAATTATATTTTCCCTCCAATTTTTTCAGCATTTAATCATATTATTTCACTTCCCTCCAATGTATTTATTTATATTATTTCACTTCCAATGCATTTAAATAGATTATTTCACTTCCCTCCAAAATTTTCAGCATTTAATCATATATCCTATTATATTGAAACAGTTATCTTCTATTTTTTAATTAAATTACAACCTCAAATCATGCACTTTATTTGAATTTTTGGACATAAAAATGTAAGCATTGATATATAATCATTTTAGTTGTAAATAATAAAAATAAATCAAATTATAAATTACATATTTAATTGAAATATATCTATCTCCAATCTGTTGTTGCTATTGTACCTGCAAAATAACAGTAAATAAATTAACAAAGGAAATATTAGTTATTATTATTAAATGTCATACTATCACTTTAAATAACGATTATTATAAAATGTGATATCATCAAACAAAAGCAACAAATAACAAAAAAATTGGGAAAAAAAATTACTCTATACATCACACTATCATAACATCATGCTATAATCATACAATTCATTTTATATACACGTGGGTAGAGAAATCATGTCATTATATGTATTTAATTTATTTATTTTTTGTTCTAATGTCTTAAATAATGAATAAAAAACGTGTGAATTAATTCTTCATAATTTAATTTACTTTATTCCTAAAGCTGAAATATAATTCCTTTTTGTTTTTAAATTTTTTTGCAAAAACACATAATACTCTTAAAATTCAAAATCTGCTATCAAACACATAATCATGGTGACAATCAACAAGAGTCAGGACCAGTCTCTCTCACACGTCGGTTAAATCTTGAAGAACCCTGTTTTCAGTCATGGACAGTTATACGTGACACTTTGTAGAGTCACAAATCGGAAGAGTTTGAAGATAATGAAATGGGGTGATGGTGATTCTGACCATTGGAAAACCTTGAATGTTGTATACAAAGAAGTGTTTAATAATATTTAGAATTATTTTCTTAATTCATATTTTTTTTAATTAAATCTAATTTTGTATTTTTTTTATATTCGTAACTCTTCTAATTAT